TTCCTGCTCAAATTGATTCTTTTTGTTGTAAGTTTTTGTAATACAGTACTGTTTCACACCCATACACTCCATCTGTCATATACCTTTCTCCAACAAAGTGTTAAATACTGATTTGCCTTACTATTAGAAATAAGGATGACAAGATCGTACATACAAGTTCTCTGCTACTAAATGATAAAGGTTGCCAGTTGAAGTGAGGCATGAGATATGAGAATTTCTGAAGCACGAACCACAGAAAAATCTGAAGTCAGTTGCTGAAACCAACACAAATACTGTTTATTTGTGAGATGCCATTTTACATCAACACCAGCAAAAGACCTAAAAATCAACCAGATGAACTCATGTTAGGTGGCGTTAACAGTGTTTCTGTCAGGTTGTGACTCACAGGAGTTTAGCACACCTTATTTATGTAATATCCAAATAACTAAGACATAAAGCATTCACAGTTACAGGTTAACTGCTGTTCCTGCATCAGCAGTGTCAGTAGGTACTATTTGGTGACAACACACGTACACACACACACACACACACACAGAGTGGGGGAAATCTTTAAAAATGAAACCAAACAAAAAAAATTCAAGCCAAGTTTTGATCTCAATTACAGACAACAAACTAGTTGGTGAATAGATTTTATACACTTTCACAGCAGTACGAAAGGACAGAATATAAGGCCTAGAAAGAGGTATTTTAGCAGTTCCAGAGGGCACAAGCTAACCTTTAAAGCTGTGTGTATGAATTCCAAGAGTATTAAGCAATTTGTTAGACTTGTGACCAAGGATCAACAGAAATCTGGGAAAACCCTTACCACAACTGAAGTCCATTTCTTGCCCTCCAAAAATGTAACTTGGGAATATTACTCAAGTAGCAATAAGCTGTAACTAACTTTGATTGTGTGAGCATATTTGTGATGAAATAAAATGCATGTATTTGTGGTAAGATGGAAGACGTCTCCAGTCCTCTATTAATGTTAGAAAAGGCTACACAAAGGTAACCTAAATATTTATTGTAGCTTAAAGACAACCTTGAACTGAAAGCTCAAGCGCATAAAGGATTCTAACAAATTCCATCCTCGTCAGCTTGCTTTCCTTGAAAAGGATAAAGAACAAAAAACAACAGTAATACAGAATAATATTTTAAATACTTAACATTATTTTGCTGTAGAATGAAACTGAGTTTCTGGAATGTTTCAGTTACTAATATTCACAGAATCATTTAGGTTGGAAAAGACCTTTAAGACCATCAAGTCCAAAGAGCTTCAAATGTTTGTCATCTATCAACTTAAGAGTGTCCACTGCTATAGTCTCTGGATGCTGGTTTCCTTTCACTAACTGGCTTTCCACTTATATCTCCCAAATACCAAGTGTGAATTGCACAGAGATTATCAAGTTTCTGCTATAAGGATAGTAGTAGTACACCAGAAAGATTAGTGCAATACCCATGACACTTCTTCCAGAATGACCTCTAAGTGTCTTGTCCAAGAAGTCTGCATATTCTGTATATTACTTTTCCAGAGGACAAAAAAACCCAAGAAAACCCCGTATCAACTATATCATGGCATAACAAACCAATAGCAGACAGCAAATTTGTACTAAGTACAAGGTAAACTGAGTAGCTTAGTTAAATTTCCACAATTATTTAAAAATGAAAGGGAATTTCTTCAAAATACAAGAACTGGCAATGTTAGGTTTCTCTGCTTATCAGTATATCTAGCAAAACCAGAAGGATGGATAGCACAGGAAAGTTTATCAAGCCATACGGGTCCATTTTAGTCCATTTGTTTCCTAGAAACATCAGTAAAGCCATCTACTAGCTGCAGTTGAATTTGTGGCTGATTTTATGAAGATGCATGTTTATAAAGAAGCTGAAAATTACAGATTCATCCTGCTTGCAAGTGGAAGAAAAATATTTGCAGCATCTGATTCATTTCCAAACACATTCCTCCTTTCCATTATTTGCGATTACTTTTACACACAGGAAAAAATCAGAGTTTGTTCATTTACACAGCATGAGTACTTCCTGAGGTTTCCTCTCCTGCTTCATTTGCTCTTACTTATATTTTGTATTCTGCTAAACATTAGCAAAACTTGGAAAAAGAGCACCTGATTAAGCTGAACAGATTTCTGTTGACCCTCTTAGATGAAAGTTATACCTAAAACAGTAATAGATTAGAAGCGTCTTTGGCTCTTGCTTCCCTTATTGGAAGCCAAATTATGTGTGACATACAAAACCTTTTATGCACATCTTGTGTTTGTTGCAGGATTCACGCCAATATGTGCTAAACTGTTTTCTAGAGTGAGTAACTAGCTTAACACTTAGGAACAATTACAGTATCTCACTTAAAATCTTAGCAACCACAATTTAGCCTAATGGTAAAAGTTATATATATTGCTTCTAAGTTCATTCTTTTCAGAAATAAACCAGCAGCTCCACTGATTATTTCCTTACGGTTATACTACGCTAATATACACATTTACATCAGAAGTCTTAATAAAACATTTGTTTTTTAGTAAGAGGCATATTGTAAACATTAAATACCACACTCCACTGAATTAATTTCTTGTGCAAACTGGCATCAAACATGGAATTAAGGTTATGTGTATTAGTACATAAGAAAGCAATGACTACATATGTTTTACTACTACTAACTTCAAATAGCACTATCTAGTGTCACAGAAATCCAAACATGACTATTTCACAGGGAAAGGTAGTATCTTCTTCTCAGCATCATGAAATTCTAGGGTTTTGTATATGCATATATATTGTCTATTTATGTATATACAAATATACACAAGCACACACAGACAATCTTTGTCTTTGGCAGCTGAGTTTTACAAACAAAAACAAACAGCAAACAGATTTGAACACAACTGACCACCCGTAGCACCACAATTACAACCTCCTGGTCCAGGGAAGCAAACTAATGTTTAAGCACCATGTTTAGCTTTTGCTAAACTAGGCTTAATCTTGAAAGTAGTCAAGTTAAGGACAGTTGTTCCTGACTTCAGTGATGGCCGAATAGGACCTGCAACACAGCTGAAAATTTCACATTCAACCTAAAACACTTTTCCCCTCCTCTCCCCCAGATTGCATTCTAGAGCAATATCAAAACTGCCAATACCTTATAAAATATTTCTACAGAAAAGTAATGTTAGTCTTCATTCCAAAACATATGTTGGCCCTTTCTTGTTAAATGCTCCGTGAATCAATATGGAACATTTTAATAAATCCTAAGGGATCAAAGTTTAATAGCACCGGATATTTCAAGGACCTATTTATAAAAATCAACACTAACATTAAAGAAGGATAAGGCAAGACAGTGTGACAAAATTATGGAAATTAAACATCATTCCATTCACTCATTTTCCCCAAATTAATCACTAGAACTGTCCTTTGCAGATAAAGAATGAGTGAAATAGGAAGTGGTCCCTACTAAAAAGTACTGCCATTTAATGCTGGTGTTTAACATGCCCATTGCCTGCAACGGACATTCTGCGAATTCCAATCCCCAGCATGAAAGAAAGTAGTGTTTTGACTATTTGGTATCATATTTTTAATTACCTACAGATACAAAGTTAGAGACCTTGGGAAAGACTACAAACAAAAAACAACCCTCAAATCTATATTATCTATGTGCTAGGGGTGAGCAGACTTTATTCCCCAAACCACTAATTTTAGCTAGAACTTCCAGTTTCACTAGATCGCAACATAGGGCAAGCACTCTTGGTACACCAAAAATTAAGAGGAGTATGCCAAAGGCAATTTACAAAAGTCTAAAACCCATTTTTAAAAGGTACTTTAATTTGTTCATTGGTACCTGTAATGACTACTGCAGTTTTAACATTAAAAAGTCAGTACTTTTTTCTTCAAATGGAAATCATTTGTGGCATGTACAACTATTACAGCGTTTTAATATTTATATGTGTAGATATAGAATTTTAAGACACCAATGTTTCATTCCTGTTAAGCAATAGGTCAGGTTTGGCGAATTCTGGTAAAGAAAGTCACAACGTGTCTTCTCCCCTCAGAAATTGGCATCTCAAATAGTAACATTAAAATTGACAATAGTTCTTCACATAGCTCTGTCCAAGCAGTCTGTTCATTTCATTTTCTGAAATGCTACATTTGAGACCAAAAGAAAAACAACTGAAGTTTCAACAAACATGTAAGTGATGACTAGAAATATGCCACAAAATTATTTTTACAATACATTTCTGCAGAAATAATCCCTAGGTGAAGGGGTATTTTATACACATATACAAAATTTAGACAGCAATATACACATAATCACAGTGAAGACGCTGGCAAGTTCACCAATTTGTAGTGTAAATACAAAATGCAAAGCAGCCTTCAAAGAGAACAATGCTACACAGCAAGCATAGCTAGCTTGTTAAATAGCAAACATCAAAAGTTCCCTGCAAAAGGGATGCAGTGCAAGAAAAGCAGCATGCACTTTGATACAAATAGCAGTTTATGGCTAATGGTTGACATAACTGTGGTAACAGTGACTCTTGAGTGGCTGTGCATAGTTAAACTCCTATGTCATCTGTTTTCCTTTATACCATTCCACAAACTCATCCAACAACACTGGCCCTGTAGAGAGATCAAATAACTGCATTTTACAAAATTTTGTAAAAGGACACCGAATCATTAAGCTCAGAGAAATAAACTATTTTAGAATACCAACATATGGTAGTACTTACAGGCTCCATCTTCATCATAGTTACTGAGGTCAAGGCTAATTGTTCTGCTGAATTCAAGAACATTACACCATTGGTCCTTATTGATAACTTTGTATTTTGATTGCTGCTTGAGGCAAGAAACAGAAGTTACTAAATACATTTTCAACTCCCCCAAAATCAGGTTCTCTTACTTAAAGAAAATTTAAATCTCATGCTGAATTATTACTTTAATCTGGATGCCTTCTAAAACTGGACAGGATTAAAGAAACCACTAACTAGTCAAGCCAGAGTTGATTTTCTGATTAAGACATCTTTTAGCGGACAAACATACAGCAATAAAATGAAAGTCCCACATTAAACCTTAACAGTTTATGGATTTGGGGAAAAAGAAAGAAAAGATAACCAGTTACAAGTGCTGCTTTGGGGGTTAGTATGTTCTAAATCAGAACAAAAGAAGAAAATCTTAGCTGGTCATTCTATCTTTAGTTAAAGTATCAGAGAAGACAGATAGAAAAAAAAAACCAAAACCAAAAGTAATTCTGTTCCAAACTTCTTACCTCTAGAAACTGGTGAAATACTGGAAAAAGGGACCACGTTTTTCCTAAAAGAAGGCCCAACATACACTTGGCAGTATTGATATCTAGGCTGCGCTGGTCCTTTTCCTGCATAAAAAAGTCAAAAACCAGAAAATAACATAATTTCAGGATTTCTCACTTCCCCCACTACAGCTCACACATACATGAAATAAATTACCAAATAAGTAATAAATAGCAGTATCTAGCAGAGGTTTTTCATAAAACACAACTTCCTAGTAAAATTTCCTTCCCCGTAGCTAATGGCTTGCTATACACAGATGCTGCTTGATACAGACTTTCCCTAAAATCCTGTCACTGCTGTCACAGATGAAGCATATACTCCTGTTTGTGACTTCAGACCTTTCCAGAAAGCAATGGCCATTAAACCCATACCCATGTTTCACATATGCCACTGCATATCCACATGTCTCTTAAAAAAGTATCGCTGCACATATTTCCTGCAGAATTATTACAACTACATAAACTGTCAGCAGATAGTTAAGCAGCTATCAAGTAACACAGACTATGCAAGAGTGAGCCAAGGAGGTTCTTTTTTCTGTTATTCTACTGATTACATGAAATTCAGATTAAATTAAATATCACATGAGCAAAGAGAACAAAATACACTAGCACATGGAGACCCAATTTTAGTTCAACACAGCAGTAGTGTATTAGGCTTAGGGGGGAATTTTTTTTGTTTCTGCTAAGGAAAAAAAGCATCACTTGTACCCAACAGATCTGTCACATCTAATCAGTGAGAGAGTTAATATATTAGATAACACAACTTCTGCACATCTAAAAAGTAATGCGTGTAGGTGTAAAATCTGATTTTGCTATTTTAGGTAGTTTGTCCATGGACGTTTGTTGTCTTGAAATTAAATAAATTGTGAGATGGAATGTAAAACCTCACCCTTTTATGCCTTGCTTGTAGCATTAAGCTTCAAATTCAGAAGTTAATGAAATCACAAAAAAGAAAGCTCCACATTAGCTACCGTACACCTTGATCTCTCTGTATGTACTCACGATTGCAGACAACAAAGTCTACATCAAAAAACATGGATATAAGGATATCCAGAATACATGGAGTGCCTCACAGAGCAGTGCAAGACAGCTACCCAAGACAGAGGGAACTGAACCCTATGCCTCACCTCTACAAGTGCACCTGTATATACTACAGAAGACACATCCTTATTAAAAAACAAGCTTGAAACACAACAGAATTGCCTTCTGTAGGAAGGATGCGGTAAAGCGAGATCCCAGTTCTCAGAGAACAGCTGGATGCCTTAGCCACAAGGTTATACTCTCTTCTTGAAACCCATTTCATATAAAATAAACTTTAATTCTAAAATTTTGTAGACCAAATTTTGTGTGGGTTTGTTTATAAAGAGAAGTGGGGAGTCTAGCAGCTCTGAAAACATCAGAAGCTAGGTTTAGTGACCAGAATGTAAACCAAAAGGGACTTCACTCATTCTGATCTAGGGGAAAACAGTGAATTCCAGGATGAACAAAGCTTTTCAATTGGTAATAAAACTAAAAACCACATTTGCGAAAGCATTTTGTATTAATACGATAGAAGTCTTTCACTTATTTCCAACATCAAATAGTTCTAAAAAACTAACCCTCTTTCCAAAGCCCATTTACACCTCTGTCTCAAACACCTTTAGGCAGAAATGATACTGCTGTGAGAATACATTTTACTTTCCATACTGTTTATACCCTAAATTCTTCCCACACACTCAAGTGTTAATGAATCAGGCTCTGCTGCCTGTACTTTGGCTGGTTTTACATGCCTTACACTGTAAAGCTTCTACATTCTCTCTCTCTGACTACTGCTCAGAACAAATTATTCAGATAAGCCCTTTGTACCCACCTCCAACTGCCTAATGGCGCATCTGCTATGACAGATGCTCCAATTTCATTCTTAACATACATTCCAGATACTTACATTATCTTTCTTGGATACAGTGGAAATAATACATCGACAAACTGTGATAAATGTCAGTATTTGTTTTACATTGATGATAGACAGCCTTTCTGAGATTCCGCCCCCCCCCTACATTTCAGATAAAAGAGCTGTTTAAGCCATGAAGTACATGCATCTGTATGTTCTCAAACTTGGCAATGACAATAGCAAACAGGGAGCAAGGAATGTATTTGTGCTTAATACCAACATACGGCATTTTAAATTATTTCCTCAAATCAATGCTGACTTCAATCATTCATGCTGCATAAAACCTTGATCATATCTATATTTATTGACAAACTAACTCTAAACACCAAATCGCAACAGGCGCTTTCAAGAACTCTCTCTTAAAACTTCAGAAATTTAGACAAGTGCTTTTTGCCTCAGAGAACTTCCCTGAAACGACTACTGTTAGGATAGAAACTACACAATCTTCTGAATCAAAACCCAAAAATGACCCCATCAGCTTTTTGCTACCAACCACTTATTCTGCTAAAATTATGAACGGATTTATCTGCAACATCTATACAAATATATCAGCCTTTGTCAGCCTTCATCTCTATTCTTACTGGATGCCATTCTCCTTTAGACTTTCTCTGGCTCCACAGTATTAGAAGTTCAATAATTCTACTAACCCAATATTGTTTCGACAATTCCCCTGTTGAAATGCCTTTGACTTGCAGTTCTGGGGTTTTTTTGGCCACAAATGATGTCACAGCATCTGTGTCTCAGTGCTTAAATTCTTTTTCAAGACCATCATTTGTCACATCTATTTGGGACCTCTTGAATAAACTCCACCCATTATCCTCTTTTTACGTTTCTGCACTTGCTCTGGACAGGCCATCAGCTGGTACAGATTTGCTACCTGTTCCAAATATTCCACCAGTATCTTCCTTGCCACTGTTAGTTATTTCTAGCCTTTGCACTTTATATTGACCAAAATTGGCAGAATCAATCTTCACACAGCAAAGGAGGAATTAGTATGTTGATACAGCTTTTTTTCCCTCTCATACAAACTAATAACATGCATTCTGACATATTCAGCTGTAGGTTTCTTTGGTTAAAAGTTAACTACTCTGAATCTCTGCAAGCTAACATGCAGAAAGCACTGATGTACCACAAATCTGAGTTACTTATGACAGACCTACCTATCAGAATCGCTATCAGTTCAATTTCTTTCTTATTATTTTTCTCACGTATTATTTTTTTCCCTGCAAATTTTCTTGGTGCTTTTGGTTCTTCTGCACTGAAATCTGAGCTTCAGTTTTGCCTTTGATCATGTTTACATTAAATCATTTGTACATTCCACCACGTTAGCAAGATGGATGTCCAAATTCCATGTCAAAATGTTAATTTAGAAAATTAGAGTTCTTTCATTGCTCCCTTTAAGTAAGAATAGTCCTATGCATATTATGGGTTTCCATACCAGGTACAGTTTTATTGACACATATTTTACAGTAGGAAGAACTTATCTCAGTATATTGTTTCATAAATACTGAGAACACCATTAATGACCTTCCAACAGTCTTCTGAACCAGTATTTATGCTATGTTATATCCAGCTTTTACCATGTTAGTTATTTTTACCACCTGCAGGAATAGCCCTCCTGTTTTAAATATGTTTATGCTCACAAAATTCAAACAGCAAGAAGAAAAGCCATGGTAATTACAAAGCCAGTGGAAATAAGTGGCAAAGCTCCAATATGCAACAGAATAGGGCCTAAATGATTTCCTTGAAGTTACAAAATAGCTTGAAGCAGAGAGCTAACAAAACATTTGAAAACACTAAACCACTGAACATCAAGCATCCTATATACACTTTTCTTTTCCAGTTCTGGCATTTTACATATGCTTTCTTAGAACATGAACAGTTCCATTTGTTAGAAGCAATCTAGAGTGGTTTCTTAACAGAAACACACTTAGAAGTTTACAGTCTTTCAATTATTACTTATGAAAGTAAAGTTTTAATGTCAGATGCTGGTCTTCCCCAGTACTTACCCGTGCAAAGTCAAATGCATATCTATAAATAAGTTTAAAATTGGTAGGTTCATTTAATAAAGATCTCAAGTAATCCAGAGAATTTCTCAATTTTTCTGTAGTATCACATCTACAAAAAAAGCACAAAGTGAATTTAGAGTCTGCATTCTTATAGAAGTGTCCAATGCTTTAGAAAAGCATCTCTAACATGTATCCCCATCAATCTGTTCAAAATACATCACTTGGTACAAAGGCATGTTTATGAGTTTGTCTGCATAAAATGCCTTGATTAAACCCAGAGTGTGAAATGGATTTAGGTAAAACAGAAAAGTCTTACACTGGTACCCTGATAAAAAAAAATTGTTTGGCCTTGTAGAAAATGCACTCTCTGACAGATTAAACTAAGACCTTGTCTACACATGGCAAACAACCAGCAAACCACAACAGTGAAACAATACTTCTATAGTTTTGCTGAAACTATAGAACTTCCCACACAGTTTTAGTGATTCTGTTCTGGAAGGTAAGTCAAAACACAGTTCTTTCTCCAACTCTCTATGAAATATGTGATTATTCAACTACATTTATGTTAATTATGCCACAAAGATAAGCTCTCAACTAGAGTAAGCAACTTTTAGAAAGAACATGACAATGCAGAGTCACAGAAAGGGTTTATATTATTTGGCATTTTGAACTACACATGCTCTAACAACATACCAGTATCTAATAGATACGTCCAATCCAGTGACAAAGACAGATGTCCTTGGGGACAAAAACAGTGTTGAACCTCATGACATTTCTGTTTTCTTGAGACTGCAGACATTTTAATCCAACTGTATTTAAATGTGCAGCTGTCAGGTTTCAAGTTGTCTCTAGGTGGTCATATCACCATAAATAGGACCAAAAACATATGCCTTTCACTCCACAGCACAGCTCTCCATTTTAACTGCTATGAGTCAAAACATCAAAGCCTGTTTTTTCTAAAAACTGGGTTTACAATAATAAGTGTAAGAGGTTTTCCAAAGCACTTACTGTAGTGACGTCATCCCTTTTAACCATTCTTGTAATGTAAAGTAGCCCATGTTTTGTGCATCCAACTTCCATGCTAGTACAAGCATAACTACCTGAAAAGAATTAACAAAAAGATCCACACATTATTCAAATAACTACTGTTTAATAGGCTGCAAACACTTTATTCATCTAAATGGGATGTTCTGATCTTTACTGCACTATTTTAAAAGTTAAAAAACCTTAAAATGACAAACCTGTACATAATCTGAAGAGAATACAACAATGTAAAGATACAGTGAGCATCCACCCAAATTACAAGTAGCCACCCTGCTTTAAGGCATGCACAGCCAACTAGTGAACAGTACAACAAGGAAGATGAGTAGGTACAAAAGCCGCAGAAAGGTCTTCCCAGAACAGCTACAAAAGTGAAGTACCAATATGATGACACATTACATTTGACATTTTTTGAACTCTCATCTACATGAACGCCAGCTGCAATCCATGAGCTCTGTGAAATCCAATTATTCTAAAGCTAATCATTATTCCACCTGAAACCACCTATTCCAGGATACCATCAGCCTACCTATGAGCAGGTTTGAACATGCAGCTTAATTCCAGTAGATGTTAAGTAAAGCTAGATAAACTAATATTAACATACACCAAAGCAGAGGCTGATACATAAATACTTCTGTTTTGCCCAAAAGGAACTGGAGTCCTTTTCACATCTCACACAGAAGACTGAAGCAATAAAGAATTCAGATGAAGTGATTACTATCTTATTCAGGAACCCAAGGAAACACTTTTGATAAATACATGAAAAAACTTTCAGGACAACTGACCCTGCAGACTAAAAGAAGAAAATAATCAAGTCATTTAAATTTGCAACTCAGCCATTAACTAGCTAATGTTAGTACAGCTCTATATGGGTTTTACTGCAAAATCAGAACACCTACTTATATACCAAATGTCTGCATAAATCTTAAGGGTTTATTATACTAATAAGCTCCACAATTAGCTAATCACATCTTACATTTCCAGTAAATCTCTCAAAACCACAATTCTCATTTTACTCAGAGATGACACTTTATGAATCCTGTAAAAGATGGGCCCTGCGTGTACATTTTAAGAGCAAAAATTATGCACTAAGAAAAAGCCTGTAAAGGGCACTATTCATTTCTATATTTTATTTACTTACATATACATATACAGTATATGTATGTTGTCATATATACGTATGTTGTTACAGATATCCCTTATTTGTCTTTTAAAATGGCATAATGGGAGTGCTAATACTGCTCAGAGTTTTTAATATCTTCTCTCCTAGAAAACCCACATAAATTACTTTGTAATTCTGTAGTTGCTACATTAAATCCCCAATGTTGTCTCATTGTTTCTGTAAAGACAGACAGCAGCTTCTTTTTCCCCTTTTATTTAAAATAACCCTCAAATCTTTTTTTGGGGAGGCTGGGAAAGTGAAAGTGGCAGCAAAGACTAATTGAGATTTTACAGGTTGACAGTTTGAGATTTAATATAAAGGCAAGTTGTTTCCAAATGTGCATATAAACCAACCTTGTTTATATTTCTTTATGAAAAATAAAAAAAAAAACAAACCCAAGTGTTATTTTAATTCTTGACAAAAAAATAAGAGATACAAGACTGTCTCATGTGCATCAGAAGAGACCAGGCATCTTTTGAACGGACTTTGAACTTACATTTTCCGGTTCAACTCCAATGTCCTCACAAAATTTCTCCATACCTTCTGGCCCTACAATGTCATCAGTGCCTGCAAACAAAATAGATTTTATTTATCTCTGACAATTAAAGCAGTCTGACCTTTTCAGCACGGGAGAAATGCAATCACACAGTACAACCTCAACTTCTGTACCATTTGGGGGGTTTTTTTGTTTGTTTTGACACACAGTAAGTATTTCCACTCTTACTGTCAGACTTGCATACACTGAAATCTTTATCTTACCTTTGGAAACAGAGACAGAAAAAATGTACAACAACTTTTATTTCCTAACAATATCCTTTATTCTACCCATCTACTGAGATAATCTTGTGAGAGTAAATTAGTAAGATCTTTAAGAATGCACTTAGGACTAGCAGAACATCCACATACTATTACTACCAGGGTCAAATAGGTGGACAGTGGTTAGTGAAACTCCTTTCTTGGCTTGAACCTCTGTATCACAAGATCATATCACATAAAAATGGGATAGCTATGCAGGATATAAGGCATTATCATCCTCAGAATCTCCTTCCTTACTGTCTCAAATACTACCTATATAGCATTTTCTACAAAAAAGAGCCTAAAATAAAAATCTTGTGCTCCTGTTTGTTCATGTTGCTCTACCATGGCCACACATTATCTGAATTCTAGTAACTGCAGGGGGAAAGAAGACATGAATTACAGCTATTTCTTTACCAACTTAGAAGGGTGAAAAAGAAGATAAAGAATACAGATGCTGTTTAAATGCACTATTATTAAAACATGCTGTTATATCAAGATATTTGTAATCTCTATTTTTCTATTTTCTTTAAAAAATTATATAGGCATTAAGAATTGCACTGTGCAATTTAATTTCTTAAGTAAATTTTAAGTATCTGGACTATTTTGTTAGAGTTATTTATTATGTTTCATTTGGGGGGAAAAAAAAAACCAAAACATTGAAGGCTGAAATGCCTACTTTCATCCTACATAAAGATCACATGTGCAAGAAAGAGATCTGGTTTATTATCAGGTGACCTACTATTCTAAAACAACAAGGTTTAATTATATCTTTTCCCATTTTCTCATGACATCCTCTCACAGTTCTCAGAGTGTAAACAACAGTTTTTAGAAAGGCTCATTCTGTAATGTAAAGACACAAGAGGGGAAAAAACCTCAAAACAAACAAATGCAGTGTCAACTGTCTGCATATATAAAGGAGAATACTTATGAAGCAAGAACACAAAGTAGATTATTCTCTGAAAATTAATTCTTAGAATGTTACTCAATACTGTAAACAGAATCATACTCTCCGCTTTTCTCTGTTTTATCTTGGTGTATGCATCCAATGGAAACACAAAAGTTCTTTCATATACAGCCTTCCTTTCATCCCTTCTTTCCATGAAAGTCTTGACAAAAATGAGTTATCCCTGTTGCTAGAGTAAAAAAACAAATCAAGCTGGTCAGAAAGGCAGAGAATCTAACAGGTTAGATTTGGCTTGAATTTGTCTGACTCTCCTCTCACAGACTGTCACCGACAAGTGAGATATCAGAGTATTTGATTTAGTTTATGTAATTTTATTAGAAGAAAAAAATATTACCACATCAAATTACATCACTCTTCATTACGTGTAAGAAGTAGATAAAACAGAACAGGCTCTGAGCAAAGTTATCCAAGACAACATCATAAAACTGCAAGATGACCTTATTTTGTCAATCACCTGTTTCATTTCCTTTTGGTTTTTAGAGTCATGAGATCATTTTCCCCCATACTTTAAGTTCTCCACTTCAGAAAATCACATGTAAAAAAACTAATGCAATAACCAACTTCAGTATTAAAAAGGATCACTTTTGTGACTGCAGATCATAATTAACAATCCTAGAAGTAATACCTGAAGAAAGTTCTCATATGTAAGGGCAAAAAATACTTCAGTCTACCTTCCCTATATGTTGCGATCTAATATTATATAAAAAGACAAGACCTGTATGGGATACTTGAATTTATACATTACTTTGCTGGAAACCATATGCTCCAGATTCAGCAGGGAAAAAACAAAATAATGTTACTACCTGTCCCACCTTTAACTAAAAAAAAAAAAAAAAAAAGACAGACTTGTGAAGCTGAATTCTGTACTATTCAGCACTAGCATGGCAGATAACAGAACTTCTAACACCAGAGAGGTAATACCACTTTGGAAAGAGGTACAGCTTCAACTATAGATTTGAATAATAAAGTATATATGTTCCAAAATATTTCTAGTTACACACTTTCAGCATTCTTTTTATAGAATAGAGACAAAGACAAAATTGCCCCTTGAAGTCTTCACACTACACAGAACATAAGAAAAGCTTCTTTAAGACTTTTACAAAAAAGCCTCTACAGTTATTCTTGGAAAAGGTAAGTTAATGCAATTTTTTTATTCCAGTGTAGATTGAATTGTTATTAGGAAGAAATTTGCATTTCACCCTTACCTGCATATTCATAGAACCATTCTAAGCACCTCTTACTTGAAAAGACTTCTTCCTCTGCTTTTATTCTAGACGAATCATATTTTCTATACATACTTTAAAAAAAAAAAAAGAGAAAAGTAATTAATTTATCAATTTTTTAAAAGCAATATTTTAGTCAACAGACACTATAGGCAGCAACATTAACTCATGAACGAATTACCCAACATTCTGTCCTCATATCCAGTCATTTGGGATACTGCTTAACAGAGCTAGAACCACTGAACCTGAATACTGTGTTTGCTCAGTCTGTCACACTTCAACTGATTCATAATCATTACCGATGTATATGAACTTTCCTTACAACAGATACAGACTAGTTCAAATTCAAACCCAAAAACTGTTTTGTGTAAGTTCAAGTAAGACTTGCGCACACTGTTAGTGACGACATTCAACTGATGGGCTGCAACTTGGCTGAGGGTCTAAACCTACAGTAATTTCAAGTCACAGTGAACATACATACTTCATGTAGTTTGAATTACCAACTAAGAACTACACATACTCTTTCTGCCTCCTCAAAAAAATCCTCTAGAAGGCATAAAGGCCAAAATAGACGTGACTCACAAATACATTATTCTAAAGCCTGTTAGTAACACAGAAGAACCAGAGAACAGGTTACAAGTCCGCACTGACAGTAACTCAAGGAACCTCATTCATCATGGGGTAAAGTTATCTGAAAAGCTAGATCCATAGTGTTCCTTCCTGCCAGAGAAGGCAAAGTTATGCTCTGCTTTGACAAGAAGCATAAAGAATTTTAACTACATTCAGGAAACAACACTGAAGTACCAGTCTCCTGAATTTAGTATCTGCAACACCTAAAGCCCAGAAGGCACAGCTGAAATTGATGAGTTACTCCACTCTGTTTAGACTCTTCTGAAACAGAGACACTATTACTTGTGCTTGTTAGCAGAAAGGGACTCAGCAGACAAGTAGTTGTTCACTGCTGCACATGCATTCTCTGAACCATTTCCACCACTGTGCAGTAGCCTGGGCTCATACCGGCTGAAAAGAGCCAAGCAACAAATGGCTTAGATTAGGGGAGGTAGCCAAGGATGGCTCTGTGATTGTTCAGAGCATGCAGCTCTTCCTCTTACAGTGTCAAATCCTGCTGAGGGAGGACAACAAAGTGGCTAATTGGTTCAAGGAGAGTTTGGAAACAACCTGGTGAAATTAAGTTGGAGTAGATTTCATCACCATTTTGTTCTTCTAGAAAGACACATGAAAGATGTCTATACTCAGGAGGTTAGAAGTACACTGATCCCACTATCCTCCACCTAGTTATAAGGTATGAGGAACTGCAGCTAGACAGTAATGGCACACAGGTCATTACAGTAATTCAAAAAACTGTATAGTGTTTATTGTCATAGTTCTTTTAAAGCAACTATCAGAAAAGTAATCCTGGTCAGAGCAAAATGATTAACTGCTATTTGAAAGACAAATACAAATGAGGATCTTAAGAAATTTCAAGATGGAAAGAAAAATTAACACTGTACTGAAACACACTGATCTGCAACTAACTAGAACACGGCAGAAAAATGCCAGCCACACGTCTCAAACATATAACCACCATCTGTAGGTTTGTTTTTTGTTTTGGATTGGTTCTTTTGGTTTTGTTGGGGGTTTTTGGGGGAGGCATGGGTTTGGGGGTTCGTTATATTTTCATTTTGAAAACAGTGTTTTCTCTCTGAACTACCTACTTGGTGTAAGCTTTATTGCAGTTGCAAAGGAACAGGCTAACGGCACTGCCCAGTAAGTAAACAACAAAGCCAGAAGGTAGAAGTCAGAGTTGGAATGATTTATTTATTTTGTTAAAGATCTGATAACTTAACATTCTCATACTTGCAGAATGACCTGTGATTATGAAAGACCTACCCAATATTTTTTAAGCTATTTTGAATTCAGAGAAATCAAAAAAATGTCTTGAGACAAAGAAAGGAGGCATTCTGCCACTTTGGCAAAAGTTTTATTATTCAGTATCCCCTTTTTTGTAGCAAACAAACGTGACAAACACAACTGGAATACCAAATTGGAAATTGACTGTAGCAGGAGCTAGTCAACATCTTTATTCTATTCTATTTATTCAAGAATTCTCTAAGAGCACTGCTGGGACCTAGGACATGCAAAGCTAATGTGGTTCCCAAAGACAGACATTCATCACAAGACTCTGTTCTTACAAAGGGATGATAATCAAGTGCCTTGCCCTGCTTGTTCATCAAACTCACCAGCACGTTCACTGTCAGTATGTGAACAGTGGATTTGGGAAGGAACCTTCAAGAAAAATTTACTCACAGAGCTCTAGGTCACCCAGGCATTTCAGAGAAAGGATTCCTGCATCTACATGTGCCAGAGCTAAATACTGTAGCCTGAACCAAGACACCAATGACAGCAGCGTGTGTAAGAGGAATGGTTAATGACAACAGAAAAAAACCCAGCCCTTTTTATATATTCACTGCATCTCTATATAGTGAGTTTTCATAGGACTAATACTGTGCTTAAGGCTAAGGTTAATGTTCTGGAACTGCAGGAAACAATATTCATTAGGAAGTCTACCTGACCACCATATGGCCAAGTAACTCCAAGCAAAACACTCTGGCCTCAAACTCATCAGTGTTCAAAAAGCTCAACAACTGACCAATGGAGTTTGATTTTGAGAAACCAGAACTGATCACAGAACTTCCAACCTGTGCTGATAAGAGAAATCACTTCACAAACTCAGAAAATAAAATCAGACAGAATGTAATTTTGAGCTACCCTAATCTGTGCTACAAGCTAGTTAGCCAAACATCAATTAGAAGTGCAGGTGACATTGTATCACATTTGTAATGCAAATGCATTGTGCACAGCCAGAAGCATAAAACCATGCAACAAAAATGGCTGGATGAATCTCAAATGCCTTTTGCTCAACATAAAGAAACCAACAGCAGATCACACAGTCTGCAAGACAAGGATCATTTGAAAAGGGATATAACAGAAATGAGCAACACCAATGCAGACCCACGGTTAGTGATCTCTCACATGTAAAAGAGGAAACCTGTTCCCTCCCTGCTGACTTCAACCACCAAATGAGTTTCTTGAGACTCCTAATCCCTGAAGTGCTTGGTGAAGCGAGATGAGCAAGGAGTAGACAAGTATCTGACATTACAGCCTAGGACAACTTGGTCCAATTATCACAGCAAGCCCAACCTGCCAGCACAGGGTAAAGGTGATTCCAAAGACTGTCCCCTCTGCACTACCATTAAACAGAAGTGATTGTCATGCAGAGGAGAAAAACACAAACTGCCAGAGAGGTCTGGCATTCATTTTGTATCCAAGAGTATTTCTCTTATCTTTGGCATTTTTCTGGACACAGTGCAAGATGATGCGCCTTGTCTCTGTGCTAAGGATACTGTCTCTTGTTACACAGACGAATACAAACTGCCAGAGCACCCAGGGCAGATATCTGAATATTTTGGGAGCACCAAACATGTACTGAACAGATCTGAGTTTCAAACAGCAAGTCCTCAACAGTTCACAGCTTCCTCAAGACGAACAGCCCCAGTACCCTCAGATGCACAACCGTTACGCTGTCCATGTTACAGTTTATTTGCTTATCCATTGATGGTCTGTAAGAGGAACCTACAGAATTTCAGCCATGCAGCAGAAGTTAAAGAACATCCTGCTCCAAGTCTAGAGAGGGGGGAAAAAACAGGCAGGGCAGGGAGGAGGAGCAGTAAAAACCGCACACATACCTTCCGTAAAAGAAGAGCCAACAGGTATGCCTGGTACTTTTGGTACCAGAATTTGTACTACTGTCACAGAATGCTGACACTAGAATAGGTTTGCTAAAGGGTGTTCTCTCCATCATCACAGCTAGAAAAGTGCGCACAGAACTTTTTCCCAGAGTGTCCACTACTCCTATCACTACTGGACAACAGTGAACTCTGGGACTTCGGTTTAGAATGACTCTTCCATTTCTGAACCCTGACACACCACCCATCAGCAAAAGAAAGAAAAAAAAAAATCTACCTATGGGCAAAGAGCATCTATTTGTCTCTCAGATGATATACACATACAGGTCAAATTACCCAAATAAATATTTGCTTGAAAAATAATGGGTTTTATTAGTTTAGCATGACACCATCAGTGTCAGAACAGTAACAGCAGACCTAAAATATTTCTTTATATTATAACCAATATTCCCTTAAGGAGCATTTAGCTTTTTGTCTAACAGCTCTTTTACCTACTAGAGAGGAAAGAATGTGGGACAGGACATGGAAAAAGTGACGTGAAATTAACCTGACCAAGTTTTACAAAAGTGGTATCAACTACTTAACCACATCTAAATGAAGTTATTTTCTCAGAAATGCCTTTATCTCCAACATGATGTAGTAGCTGACTCATAACATCCATTTTTAAACTTATCTTCAAAATATTCATATCAGTTAGGGAATTGTAATGTCCACGCAATAAAGATGAGACAATGTAGTCTGTAATTGGAAGTGGTATAGGTAGATATAACCAAACTAATTGAAAAAACTAATTGTCTAGGCCTTTCATCATCCATATATTTTCCCAATTATTTTTCTCCATCCGTAACTGATTTGGTGAGAAAGCAAAAGCATGAAAATTCCATCCAGCTATTAAGGGTTAACTGGGCAAGTCACCACACATGGCCACCGCCAGCAAAAGAACAAGGTCATGGTAATTCTCCTCAGTCTAGTGAAGTCTTCACAAGTTTGGTCATCTACTCCTGCTCTGAGCATGCTTCAACTGCACTGACATTTGTTAGAGCTCCACCTACCACAGCAGCAACTCTGTGCTGTGTGGTTCCAGAATACTCAAAATGAGATCAGTGAAAGCACTGAGTTTAGGTCACACAAAACATCCTCTTGATATAGAAGCTGGTAATAGCTCATTTAAGTGAAAAAAAAATAAAAAGAAAAAAAAAAGGAAAGGTAACAGTTCATAATGGTAGGTCAAAAGTTAACCCCTCATCGAGATGTACAGCCTGGTCATGTCAGATGGTCAGCATTTACTGAATGGAAACATTAAGAAATTTACCAACAGTAGCTTTGTTTCTATGCAACCAGAACTTATTCAAAACCTTTACCTCATTTCATCCAAGCTTCAAACTGAGTAACTAATTGCTTTCAGATTATTTAATTTTGAAAGATGCAAACTTTTCCTTGAAGATGATGCCCCCTACTACTTCTGTTAATTCTAATTAATTAATTAATATAAAATTTTGACTGAGAATTTATCAGTGCAGCATAATGAAAATATTACTATAAAGCCTTACCTGTTCATTCACAATTATAATTTTAGCAATAGTTTCATAAATACTGTAGTAGAAACAAGGGGGACAGGGAAGAGACGGTTTACGATTTGCAAGACACGACAAAGTCTGTCTAAAGCAACCCTCAGCACAAATTTACTTGACCGGTAAGTTTTATGAAAGAATATGTTTTATTTCTCCCTATTTAAAGACTTACAATAATCTCTGAAGTTTAAAAAGAATGTTTTGAACTTCATCAGGCTTAGTTAAGGAGCAGTATGTATAGCAGTATACATGCTGAGTCACATGTCCAGTTTAAGTTTCTCCAGAACTATTAAGAGAAGTTCACCATAAAGGTGTGCAGGATTGCAAGGGACAGGACCAAACCAACTAGTAAATGACAATAGAACAAAAAAACTCTCATCACTGAAGGTTGTGAAAACTTCTAAGGTTAGTACATTCCCGTTTTACTTTCCCATGCTAGTAAGTGTGTTGACTGTGTTTTGAAAACATACATTTTTCCACTACAGGGTATGGAGCTTATCACTCAATAAAGAAAATCTACTTTTCACATTAATAGACCCTTATGTGGTCCATACACACACAGAGGATAAATTAGACTCTAGATCTAAGTGTCTGAAAACGTAACTTTCAGGGAAGCAGATAAATATTCCTAGTTTTCATCCTTCTAAGGTCAAAACATCCATTACTGTAAGATTTTTGCCCTCAGCATGATTCTGGAATAAGAGTAGAATTATTTTTTAAATGAGACTATCAGAAAGAAGATGTTATATTATACAGCTCAGCTTTCCCTAAGGAAAAAAGCCAGTATTTGGCTAAAGGTTGTGTAACAGATAAACAGCATTAGATAATTACACAGTGAGGACTATATTCTTACTGAGCAAGTATCTTTACATGAAATCTGCTTTACCTTTCCTAAGACCCTTAACAGAGTGATGGAAGAGCATATATACAGAAAATCTATTTATAACTCAAATTTGAGAATACCCTATACCATGAGAGTTCTAAGTACAATAAAGTCAAGACTCTGATACTGAGAGGAAAATACAAACTAAGTCTTCAAGTCATTATGTTCTGGTTAATATGTGCTAAATTATTTACTTCCAATAGCTATTCTTTAAAGGTAGAATAAATTTTACTGTGATCCAGAAACGAATACACCAAGTTCTTTTCACTATACATCATCTGGTATAAAAACTCCCTCCCACTGAAACACTGCATTCGCAGTTCAAGCTGACTTTATGAGCATTAATTAAGGGAATTCAAGCTCTTATTATGTAAGAGTGGGATGCTAAAGACCATGTTTAGAATCTTTGTTTTCCCTAATCAGTCTATGCATGAGATCAGCATTTCCAAATAACTTTCCTAACAACTAGATTTATTCCTGTGTTTTTCCTCAAAAGCAAGTGTCATTATTCCACTAATCCTTCCCAGACAAGGCTTGGAACTGAGGGTTCAGCCTGGAACCGAAGGTGAAAACTATTATAAACTCCCTGGTATCAGATGTGTTTAAGTTTATGAGTTAAAGAGCCTTTAGAAATCACCCTCTCTTTCAGCACAGAGGCCTGCTGAAATAAACTCTCTGGAAAGAATACGTATCTCAAAAATATTCCTGTCATAGTTGAAGAACACACCACAAGTAGCCAAGACTGAAAATACCACCCAACAAAACTACCCAAGAAAGGATTTAAAAAAAAAAAAAAGAAAAAGAAAAAAACTAATTTCCTTTGGATGGACAAACCAGGAGGAATTATCAACATTTGGCTGCAGCTGTGATAACACTGCTAATGATAACACTCCTTTGATAATCTTCAAACTATTACCTAACACTTTCCCACTGAAAACAAACAGGAGACTTGCAATTACTGATTTGTTAATGTTGCTCCAGTAAGTTTGCCATTATAACTAAGAAACATACAAAACTTACGTCATTCCATAAGCATCTGAAGTGAGAAATTACTTCTCTTAGGAAATACAGTCTCTGCTGGAGAGAACATGTATTTTTTCATTAGAAGTAGACATTCAAGAACAGACACTGACTACCTTTTTGCTTAATACAGAATCCACAGGCTAATGCCCCTTGAAGGTTTATCCTGACTTACTAGTTACTAGTTTCTAGAAGTCCGCCTCTAAAACAGATGAGATAGTAAAGAACTGGTCCTAAAAGCCCCTTATTCAATATACTGGCATTGCTCTAACCATACTGGTTTTATTATACACAGCATTCTTTGCATACAGTATAAGAGGAAATGGCTTTGCAAATAACTAGGTCTGCTACAGCACACTGCTGTAGATTCCTCATTTCAGATATATTTCTGCTTGACAAACTGAGATGTTTGACCTCCAAAGACCAAACACGTCGGGCATAAGCTCCGCCTGGCAAACATGCATGGCAGTAGGAGACAGCTTGCTCTTTGTCTAACTTGTTCACAAGTTAGGGGCACAAGCCAAATCTGAAGAAACCCTTCCTTCCCTGAAAGAAAATAGAGATCCACGATTGAGCTGAATGTTCAACAAATGACTTCATATTGCCAGTCATGTTGAAATAAAAACTGTTTTCTTGAAGATAGAACAAAAGAAACTTATACAGTGGGAAGCAGAGAAAGCCCGCAAACCTTCAGAAGTTAAGAAGGAAGACAGATAAAAATTGGAATCACATCAGACAAGGATATTGCCCCTGTGGCCCATGACCAGCAGATCTGGTTTCACCTCCACTTGTAAAAGCAGGCTGAGGTCTTCCTTTTAATAAAGCCTTACATGGCAGTACAGTTGTTACTTATAAACTGAAAAGCATATACGTATATACAAAAACATATAGATATAAAATCCTTCAAATTATGCTTGTAAAAAGCTTTTAAAAATTATTTTATATATACTACTTATAGAGTAAGAAATCAGTTTCTTATAATTTTCTTTTTTGAATTACACAAATCAGTACATCTTAATTACAGACAACCTTACTTTCCTAGGGCTTTTGGGTTATTTCGTTTTACCAGTGTCTTGGCAAAGGGAGATAGAGTTAAATTTCATGAACCTCTCTACTTAAGATTCTAGAAACATTCTGTCCTTGTTTCGCTTCCATATTGTACGCATACATTTGAATGAGCCGTAATGTCCTCTATCAACTCTTTAGTTTTTGTATATTATTATTTCTGAAAAACAACAAAATATATTAAGAAGTTGTGCTGCTTTTTTGTTCTTGCTAGTGTTACATACACAAAGCAATGAAAGGGAGAGTCGAAATATCTTTCTTCTTCTCCATCAACAGATCATTTAATAAATTCCAGTGCAGCTACAGTTGTGCAACCTTATTAAACACAATGGAGTTATAGAGGCATAACTAGAGGCTTAATTTGGCTACTAGCATTTTTCTTACTCATGCTAGAGAATAAAAAGGAAAGCACCAGCCTGATTTCAGGCTGACAGTTAGGAGAGAACTCCATCTTTTTACCTTCCTGAATTAATTGTTATGGAAGCGTGGGTTTTCCAAGTCACCAGTAATACATGTATGTAATAGAGCTCAAATTCTACTGATAAGATGCGGTGGCAAACAAACCTTCTGGCCATATACCTCACTTTTCAACATCATGACAGTCCTGCACCTATCAATGCAGGAGTGTAGAGTCCTGTACGTCCAAAAGTTCTGAATTCAGTGCACATAAATAGTAACTACCCTGCACACAAGGAGCACATTCAGTGTGCTCCATTTTGAATGACTGAGGCTGACTGAACATACACATACTGAAAATCCAACACCTGGAGAACTCTCAGCTATGCAACTCCTACACCAAAAGAATACACTGCTTGCGCACACAGTTGCAACCCACTTGCACTCCTGCTGCCCAGATGAAAGCTGAGCAGTACTGCCTCAGTCACCACTCCAACCGACTACCACCTTGCCTGGGCAATCTCCACCTTTCCCTTACACAACCAGCATCTAATCACAACATGACAGGGAGAGACTTAGCAGGACTTCAGGTTAAGAACTGAGTGGACTACAACTATCACTTTTCCAACACGCTGTAGATTGAGAATGCCCAATCCAGATCTTATACATGTATACAGGAAGATATTACTGCATCTCTTCAAAGCTGTTTTTGAACAAACATCTCTACTTTGACAGCTGGCAAACTAGAACAAGAAGTTCACTACAAGCTTCTTGTACAACTAGAAAAAGGTGAGATGCAAACTGAACCTAGATATGCTTCTCAATATCCCACAGTTCAATACAGGCTATGGTTCCACACTGAGAAACCAAGCAAATTTGAATACCATTTCAAGTAGTATTTAAAAACATGATCATATCAGCTGTTCAACTTTAGATATTCCATCAGTCTTAGCTCATGGTAAGATGACATACCCATCATGTCTACTTTTCTTAGCAGATAAATCATCTCCTGCTGCAGGTCTCCTCTTTTTCCTTGGAGGCATCACTTTACTAAAGCAGTCTGATGAACTGCAAGACCGGAGACTTCCTACAGAGGGAATTAAAAACACCAGTACAAGAAATGAAACTGTTGCAGACCAGTTAAACTGTGTCCACTAATAGGCATATTACAAAGGGAATGGAAGGGAGGAAGTTAGTGTATTTAAAAATTACAACAAAAATGGTCTCCTTTCAATAGCAAAATCCATCTCACTTTTACATGGTGTTCAATGACCAAATTTCAGTTAAGGACAAAAGTACTATACCAAAATGTACAGTAGTGTCAGTGCTACTTCCGTCTCACAAAAGGCAAGAATTGAGATTATGCTGAGGAAGTATTTATGTCCTTATTTTTTGTCATTTATTCAAATCCGAACTTCTAGACGTTGTTCATTACTTTTTGAAATACAGACGTGACTCAAACCCTAGAGCACCTACCTCTAGAAAACAGAATCTCTTCCCCAAGGTTTTTATGATACAGAGAGCAAGGGATAGGAAAGGTTTTGTTTGTTTGTTGTTCATTTTTGTCTTTGTTTTCTTGGGGGGAGGAAGGGGACGGGGACAGGATGGGACAGGGGAAGAGACATTCAGCAACCACAGGGGGAAAAATAAGTGGCTGTCTGTATCACTTGATCTGGATAATTCTCAAACAATGAAGGTCCCCAGGTAGGAAAGAGCCAATTCAAGACACCGATGCCAATCAAGCGGCAGTCTTTCCCTCCCCTTCTCTCAGCTACATACTCCTATGTCTCTGGTGACTCTTCAGTGTGCCAATCCAGCTCACCAAACCTGTAGATAATTAACCCAAGCAAAAAAGAATAACAACCTTCTGTACATTAGCACAAGAAAGAACAGAGGACCAGCCCTTTTGACCACAGCAAGTCATTAAATTGCTTTTGCTGTCTCATGAAAAACAGTAAGCTAACACTCCAGGCAAAATTTCATCCTACTTTCATATACTGAAGACCACATGGACACCTGAGAAAGGTGTGTGAAAGAGCAGTCCACAGAGCTATCATATCTCTAAGCGTTACACAGAGAATTTTAGAAGGAAAGGAAGAGAGAGGTGAGGTATAAAAATCCAGACAAAAGCAATGCCAAAGAAATTTGCAAGAAAATATGAAGAACTCCAGCATGCCTAAGCTACCTTCTCTTAGCTTCAACAGCATCCAAGTTTAGCTATGCTTTATTAAGATGCCCACCAAATCTTTTAAGTCACAGCACAAAAGCAAGCAATAAAACTTTGACTACTTTTTAACACCATGGGAGCAGACTGAAATTAGAGGCCCAATTCCCAACAAATACTAACAGCAATCTTTTGCTTACCTATTCTTCGTATCTTTGAAAGCCTCTCTCCTGTTATAGGAGAAACACATGTAAGGAAACTTACAGCCTCACAGGCTTTGCTACATGTTCTTTATTTTAAACACGTACTGAAACTATTATACATATGAAACTATGGATTTTTCTAGTATTAGGCAAGACATTCAGATTAGTTTTTACATCAAGATGAACAATTTGGTTTCAACTAATAAAGCTTTTGCACTTAATATGCCTTCTTTAGTCTTACCTTTATATTCATTTCTATTAAGAATAAAATTAATCTCTCTAATTCAAGAAATACTCTTTCCAATTAGTTCTTCCTATATATTCCTTTTTCTTTTTTATGCTGAAGCTCCCCCACCCCAGCATCCTCCCAGGAAAGTTTGGCAATACCTACACTGACTTTTAGGAAAAGTTTTAAGAGTATTGTAAAATCAAATTATTATTTAACCAGTTATCAAAAAAACCTTTCAAGCATTATACCCCATAAACTGCTACCACATGAAAAAATCATAATGGCTGTGTCAGAAGAATATACTTCTGGAATACATTACAAAAGGAAATTAACTATAATAATATTTATCTTCTCCTCCTCACCAATATCTGATACATTTGAAACAGGTAAGCCAGAGAACACCAAGAACTCACAGTATGCCAGATGCATTTTACTACCTGGATTAAACACACTAAGGAACCTGACCTGCTGCATGTCATTTGTTCCATCTGATTATACCTGCAAATTAATGATACTGCAAAATGGTATTCCCGTAAGTTATTGGAAGTGTGATGCTCTATGGCTTTTTAGATCAATTTTCAAAGGCTGACAGTATTTTTTGCAAACCTACACAAACTAAAAACACTTAATATGACAGCAGAATTTAACAGATGGCTTAGATACAGCCAGACTTAGACACACTAAACTTAATAAATGAAAACATGTGCTAACAAACACCTTGTTTTGGAAAACACATATGAACTTGAGTACAACCTGTAGCTATCTCCTTCCTTCGAGAGCAATTTGAATGGTTTTAAATGCCTTTCTTTGAAAAAAGAATCACAGGCACTGGATGCTGGTAAAATCCAAGAAAAACCACCAACCCATCCCAGGTTTGTCCAGTTTACTAGTTATTTGGTTGTGAAAAGAAATATGCAAGGCCTCTGTGAAAAAAGAAGCATAGCGAAAGACGAAAACAAATAAATAGAAGTAAAAAACTGTTACAGAACACAGAAATTATTTTGGCAGGTCTGCAACCCCATACAAACCAAAGAATTTAACCCAAAAGTTCCTGCTTAAAGTCTTTTCCTCGTTAAATGACAGGACGTTTTTAGGAAGATGGCTTAAGTAGTTTTAAAGGCTTAAACTGGTAAGAGAATTCACCGTAACCCAAATTCTCCAATGACTCATGAAAATCTTGTACCCTTTCTTGGTTTGAATGTATCTAGTTGCAGCTCTCAAGCTGACAGAAAAATGAAGAAAAGAGATAGCTCAGAAATTGGTAAGTGGCTATTAAATGCACATGGACATCCCCTCACACACAGACACCAGGTGGACAAACATATTGTACATGCTTTCAGAGATTCAATATCTTAGAAACTGAGGCTTGGACCAACTCTTCACTATGTTTTCACTGCTGAATGATCTCTAAAGTACTAAAAAACACAGTACAAGACTGTTACTTCAAAAGTATTTCCTTTTATTACTAGAATCAGTACACTGAATTTGAAGGGCAGTTATAATTTCCCTGCAACAAACTCTGAAAATATTGTTGGAGTTTTTTTTTTAATCTTTCATTTCCATCTAAAGCTAAAAACTATCAGAGAGTTTGGGTCTTTTTGTTTTAATTCTTGCGATTACTTATTTTACAGTACAGGTCCCTAAGCACCACCAAGATTAACCTTTCCTACACAGAGCTTTCTAATTCTACATGTAATTTCTAGATCTAGCCTTTCACAACTAATTGCACTTCTCAAAGGTCTGATCATCTGCAAACAATCATGCGGCTCCCTCTGATTTCATGCAAAGTTTGACAGGAACTTTACTTACCGAGGGCTGCTTCTCTGATGTGATTATCTTCAAAGTTTCTTACTCCTGGGTCTCAACTCAAGATTGGCAGAACCCTTCTAGTTCTCACTGGTTTTTTGACACTTGAAGCTAGCATTTGCAAGATAGAGCCTCCAAATGGCTGCTGAATAGGCCAACATCAGCCAAAAGCCTGCCGAGCGTAAATGTTGTTTGCCAAACATTCTATTCAGTACTTCCAAATTTGCAGGAGACAATTTGCAGGAGACAAAGCTACCAAAGGGAAAGATCAACTTAAGAGCTAAAATACACCCTAGATTTAAAACAATATGCAAGATAATCACCACAAGAGAGGGACACTCCTAGAACAGCAACAAAACCAGAACAAACAAAAAAAAAAAGCAGAGGTCAATAAATAAGAACTGTACAAGAAGGTCCCTGCAGAAGTGATTTACAGACGTGTAATTTTCACCTTCTCTCTAGATAATGCCTGTGAATAATCCTGCTCTTCTGATGCTTAAGTAGAGGGATGTTTCAAACAAAAAATGATTAGAAACTGTGAATGCTGAAGCAATTGGAAGGGTATAGCTGCTTGTTTAATGATGCAACAAGACCACAACAAGCACAAGTTAACAATCATTATTTTTCAGATATAAGATGAGAAAACGAAGATACTCATCAAAACATCAAGCAACTTGCAATCTTCTTGTAAAAGGAAAAATCACTTTCTCTGTCTTGAATTTCACACTACAGAATTGCTTTGGACTCGAGAGGACTTTCTTCCTCTAAAACAACAAAAAAAACAGTAAAGGCAAAGGTAGTTTCTTTCCCATACAAGCTTCAAGAACAGCAATGAAGACATTACCTCCTTCTTTTAAATAAGCCAGGTGACAACAGGAATTGTACTTTTACCTTTAAAGACATTTTAGTCTGGATAGGTCAGTCACAATTTAAGCTATAGTAAGGTATTAGATTTGTAGTTATGACATAAAACCAACTTATTTCAAACCCTAGAGAGTTTTCCAAGTTAATGCATACACATACTAGAAGAAAAAGGAAGTGTTTACAGAATCAAAATGCCAGCTTTTCTTACTCTTACAAACAGCTTTAAAGGCTCATGACATTCCAGCCTACCTTATTTTTCAGACATACGTATGGACACTGAATACTGACACATTTTATAAAACTGCAATCATTATAAGTGACTGGAATTTTGAAGCGAGGTCCACCTTTGCTCCCAAATCACTGAAGGAATTTTGCAACTGCCACTCTCTAGCTCTTTGTTAAGATCTGCTTCCAGAAAAGAAATCTGTCAAATACTTGAAAAAGATATAATTTGCTTTAACTCATTTAAATGTCCAGTATATACAGTTAGTTCAGAAACAACTGCTTTGAAATAAATGCAATATGCACTAAAAGCTCATCATAAATATTAACATAAAATTGAAATTCTCAGGGTTTTTTAAATAGCTGTTAGAAATCTCAACTAAATTTAGACATGCATTTATTAAATCATCCCAAAAGCAGGGCCCACAATGTAGTATCATTAGCCAGGATAATTATGTCAGAAAACAAATAGTTATCTGGAAGGATAAGGCTTGTTTCAGATGATTCAGATTGTAAAAAAAATAATTTCAAAACTAAAAAAAACCCAAACAAACATTTTAAGATGCGTTTGGCAACACTCAAAGAATCTGGTTTTGCTACAGAGTTATTAACACGACTTTCAACTGAGTTCTGAACACAGAATCTCAAATTCACAGCAGCTATGCAGTTCTATAAACTGCATAACAAAATTAATAGGTCACTATTAATAGGACACTCTTACTATGCAGTCACTAATACTGGAAAATAGAAGTTCCAGAAGTTTAGGCACATCAAAATCAAACGATTTACACAAACCTCTCCATTAAGATATTTCAGAAGTGCCAAGTCCCATAAAAAATGGGCACTGGAGACTACATCGTACTATATTCACAATAGCCAAAATAGCTCCTTGCCTGTGTATTTGTCCTCACATGAGGAAAATCAAGCACAGATTTTGATGGAATTCACCTGGGAGTGAGGCAAACATTGGGGCTTCATCTTCTTCTACAAGAAAACGTAAGACTAGGACAAAAGCATAAGAAATACTGCGGAGAACTCTGAAGATGAGCAGCCTGCCCGTATCAACCTCTGCTTTTGGTTCTCATTTCATACTTGTTCCTGGTTTGAAAGGTTCTTTTCTGACTATTGTAAAAATTCACTGGGATTTTCTGCCCACTCATTCAATGGGCATGTTTAAGCTTTTGAAACAGCTTAATTCAAGCAACAGAATCAAAGCAACGAGTGCCAGTATAAAGCTGGTCATCAAGACCAGTAACATGTTCAAAACTTTCCAACAGAGATAATCAGAGCTCTGAGGCTATTTTCTTACACTGAATGAAGTACTAGCCAAGAAATAAGACAAATTCTAATTATCTTAAGCACACCTACTCTTATTGATTGATTGGTGACAGAAGGAAACTACTTCAATGCTTCACAACAGCTTTCTGTAATCAAAAGTATGCAAATAATGTATTTTCATATATGGAGTCAGTATGTATATGTTTAATTTGAGCACCTGGATCCCAAAGTGGAAAATTCCAAGTCTCCATCGGGAGATGGGAGGGGACATTAAGTTCTAACATACAGACAATATAATCTCTAACTGTCTTGATCTACCTGCCTCAACTTTTTCTGCAAAGGTTTTTCATTTACATGATCAGCTAATTTCAAGTATCAAATCAGTAACCACACTGAAGGAAATATTTGATAGAAGCCTTTTCTGGCTAGGGTATGACAGTCCAGCCATGAAACAAAGTCGCCTGTCACAGTACGGAAGAGGGTACATAAGCTCTAAGTGAGCTCTGTCCAATCCCAAACAATGCAGTCCTATGCATCAATTCTCACTGCTCCAGGCTAAGAGTGTGCTAGATTTGTAAGTGTGTCCCAGAAATCTTGAGGAGAAGCTGACAGCTCTCTCCACTTTCTGAAGCACTCAAGCTAACATCAGCAAATATAGCCAGCACCTCAGGACAGAGAAAAACTTTGAGACAGATGGTAGGACAGATGTGGTCAGTTTTAAAGAACAATTTGGCTTAGTGATCAGGGCTTGAAGCCAGTAAGTTATCTTCCTTCCTCCCTAGGTATCATGCCTGAAATACAGAAAGGAAAGAAGAAAAAGAAATCCAGGAAGATGCCAGCTCCTAAGTTACAAGTGCAAAAGGAGGTAACAGAAGTTGCAAGATATCAAGTCACAAAGCACAAATGCTGATGAATCAAGAATGGCAGCAAGCTATTATGAAGCACCTGAGATGAAGGCCTTCAAAAACAATGACATTTTATGGAACAGAATGCAGATTTGGCCTAATAAATAGTCTTAGACACCAAGAAAATCTGCACAAGAAACAGGAACAACCTGTATCTAAACCACTCGAGAAAAAAAGCTGGATTGTTTGGAGCACACCATTTAAACTCGGTCACAGGCACCACAACAGCGACAAGAGGTCTCACTTCTGCTCTGTTCTCACTAATGCTCTTTCAAGAATCAAAGCTTTGTAAGAATATGGATATTCTGCTAGTCTAATGGGTTGAGTCCAAGGAGTGAGAGAAGTTTTTCATGAAGTCTTTTAAACTACGTACACTAAGAAATAGTAAAATGACAGATACTGCTGAAGCCTGTGCGAGTCCTTCACAACTGGGTAAATTAAAAGAAGCACAAACATCTATTTTGAAGAAGATTTTAAAAAATCCTGGCACTTCTGTTATAAAACTCCTTTAGCTTTCTCAAAATACAACGTTCAGTGATGTTAGAGAGACTTCTCTGATGAACAGTGCTTAAATTGTTTCAATCTATTTCTACTACGTCCCTATTAAATACCTGTCTGATGATCGTCTTGACCAACGTCCTCTGTCAGATTCTGCAAGAGAGTGGGAATGACACAGTTAAACAAGATGGTGATCTTTATTGTTCAGACATGTTTTTAACCTTTATTTGATATAATTCATCTTAATTACTTAAGGAGCCTCTAGCTAAAACTGCAGAGCCTTTGTGTTTTCAGTACTTGCAAATTTGGCTAAAAAGTTCAAGCACAATCTTTTAAAAAAAAAAAAATTCAGGTTATTTAATCAAAAACATACTAATCTATGTTTCAAGAGTGGAAATAACTATCCATAGGATGGGGAATTTTGCATCGTTGTACTGAACAATTCCACTAATAAATGCAGTAGTAGAAAGATGGAGTTTACAACAAAAATGGATTTGTTTAAGGATAAACACATACAAGTGTTCTAAATAAAACTGATCAAAACCCAACTGAAATCTTTTGCATTAAATTTGCAGTGTAAACACAGAAGCCGTATCAGCATTTCCAGCTACGGTTGCCATAAAACAAATGTAAATGCACAGCAAACAAGCAGGTAGAGTCTTCAATAAAATCCTGTTTCACTCTTTGCATGGCTACAAGAGGACAGCTTGTCCATTCAGTATGTTTTCCAAACGAACCATGAGAACTTGGATAATGATAATTACCATTATTTGACATATCTAGGAAAGCTTCATCTGTAGAGACATCATCTAAACCCAATGCTGCAGTGAACAGTGCTCAAACTCCACTCTGATCCCCAGACTATAATCTTCTACCTTTTACTAATACTACTTATTTCTTAACAGATTCAAAACCTACAGCCTCTCATGCAAAAATACAGTCATAATTTTTGAAAGTGTAATCACTTAATGATTTCAACCACAAAACATTCTGGACTAAAGCCCCAGCTATTCTGCTAAGAGAAAATGGCAAGTCATTACCAGCCTATTGAGGGTGTGGTAAATCTTGTGAATATTTGCCAGTGTTGATAGGTGAGAATTCAGTTGAAAATCTAGAGGGGAGAAAAAAAAAAGAAAAGTTTTAAACTCTCTGGTTTCCAGCTGCAGCAAGCAAGGTCTTCGTATGTTCTGGTCATTTAAGAAAAACAGCGCATGACTAGAAAATAAAAGCCATCTCCACACTTTTTCAGCATTGACATTTTCAACACAAGTGGAATAAGTGAAACCTGCAAAAGACATCCTGGATAAGCATTTTTTTCTTAAGGCATGGATCACCCTCAGCAAAACAGAACTATGGCTAAGTCTATCCAAATACTAAATTATATTAGAAATAAATATTTACAGTTTTTTCCTTTAAATTGGGAATCATTATAATTTCCATGCTACTCAAGCCTTCTGTTCTATCTATTCCAAACCAATTTAAATACCATGTAACATTCTAAAATCCTTACTAAAAATGCTAGGGTTTTTTAAAAGCTAATTTTATTAATACACATGTACCTGCCTTTATACTAATTTACTTGCAAAACTAACTGACTGGAATGCACTTGATGAAAGAATCCATAGCATAGATGTTAACTTTGCTCACATGTTCCAAAAATAAAACACTTCAGTTTGCTGCAGCTGCAAAAAAGTGACAAACTAATTTCTCTCTAGTCTTTCAAATCCCCTATTTTTTGCTAGAAACATGTTGAAGACAAAACTGGGTAATAAGTAATGTACAAATATATCACCGGTGATCCAGCCAGAGAGCATACGAACCAACAAGAATCTCAGAAGGTGCACACAGACCAGCTGACAGGGATCAATGCCAGCCAACTACTATACAGTATTAAACTAAATTAGCAACCTCACTAGAACTTATGTGCAAAAACACTCTAATTAAGTAGAGACTATTTACTATATGACAAGCGAAGTATTTCAAGCAAAATTATTCCGTATGTGAAAAGCTGTATGTGCGAAGTGTCACCACTCAGTTAATGCATTAAAGCATTTCTACTGGGAAAAATTTAATTGGTTTTGCCCAGTAGCTGATACAAGATGCAAGTAAGGTCAGAAACATGTGTCCCACATTTCCAGCCTTAGCATTTCGCACAAATGCTCTCAAAATACACTTCAAATGACCCAGAATCTAACGATAAACAAAAGTAATCATTAAATATCAGATCCCCAAAATCAGTGAACCAAACTGCTATGAAATTAACAGGTGGATCTGAGAGAACTGCCTGCTTGTAAGTGCAGCTCTTACACAAATTGTTACAGAATTACCTTGTCACTGTGAATAAAAGAAAATTTCAAAAGATACCTGTAGGAACCATAAATTTCATTTACTATGTTAGCTGTAGAATACCATTTCACTAATTGCTACCTATTTCTTCACATATTGTCCCCAATTCACCACCACAGCAATACAATTTAAGTCAGGAGTGCCATATAGATAAGTACATCCAACTTTAGATGCAGTTATCTATATGAAGACAATCCAGACCTTCTTACCAAGATACGATAGGAAGATACACATTAAGTGCTCAATAAAGTTCCATCTTTGCTAGCCAAACAATATTAAGCAGAACTATTCTGCAGAAAAATCAACCTTGACTTTCTTGAACAGCCTTCAATTAAAAATTCTAAAAAATAAGAGTAAAAGGGGGTGGGAACATAAAAGCCATTCTGAGAAAAGCAAAGATTAAAAGGTAAGATGTATTTTGGTAACTGACAGACCAAACTAAGCTTTCTGGAATATGAATTTTAAAATTCCCCTTGTTGCTCAGCCTAGAAATCCACAAAGAATACGAATCTTTAGAAAAAACAATTATTCCTGGAAGTAACAAGCTGGTAATGCTGAGCAAATGCTTTATTCTAAACTAATATTAAACAGTAATTTTAGATGGTACCCTTAAAAACAATACAAAAATATTTTTAAATTAGGATTATGTATATTATGTATCGCCCTTGAAATAAAAGATTCCCAGGCACTTCAAAACACATCATTCATACCAGTACGCTTTACACATCCACTGCAAATATCCTTACAGTTTTAAGCTGTTACTCCAAAAACAGGTTACATAATTATGATGGACTTGCACGGGTTACACAAATATATTTTAAGGCTCTTGCACAAGTGTCACACCTTAGTTCCACAAAGACTGGTTTATCTGTATGAATATGAAGAACCAGAGTCCAAAGTTTTCTCTCTTCCACAGGGGAAGCTTGCAAACTAAGGATATATCCAAAACCAAAAAAACAGACTTCTTTTACAGTACCTGTTATAAAAGCAAATGCAAGCAGCCAATGAATTAAGGGAGTTAAACTACAGCTCAGGTCACCTTCTGAACTGGTCACAGTGTTTGCTGTATCTATACTGCAAGGAAGATACGCCAAGTATCCTATGCCATTGAAAAGGAGGGGGTTTCAAAACTTTCTTTTCAGAAACAGAATCCAAAAAAAGTATCTCCCATGCTCAAATAACACCATCTTGAAAACTATCAAAGGGACAATGGCACAGTCGACACGACAAGCAAGTGATTCAACATCATATGCTTCATGAATACGCTCTTTCCCCTCCACCTCCCCAACTTCTATGCTTGCTTCTGCAGCCTCCAAGTTATGCCTGCCAACCTCTTTGGTCAGCCCACCACCCCAGGAATTTTATCTACAAAAAGTACAAACTAACCAACCCTGACAGCTCAGGGGTCTGAATCAGATCACCAAGGAGATGTAACTCCTCATAAGCAAATCAGAGCAAGAAACAGGAAAGGTCCTCCAAAGTGGGAGCAAAACAGTCTCTAGTGGCAGCAGCCATGTGTCAAATCAACGTCCACTCAAGCCCCACTGTCAGAAAAGTGATACATCATATCACACTGAACACTCAACAGCTGGTTGTATGAGCTTTACATGACAAAAGCCATCATGTGTGAAGCTATTTTTCACCCAAAATACAAGAACTGGCCTGAAAATATTTTGGTGGTTTGGTGGTTTTTTTTCTGCAGAAAAAAATTCTCTATAGCAAAGTACCACACAGTTTATTGACCTGTGATCAGAAGAAAGAAAACAGCTTGCTTCATGAATGCTGAAGAGATGTGCTGTAACGTTTGCTATGATTTTAAGAGCCGTATGTCAAAAAAGCATACATATTTTGTTGATTATTTTTCATGCAGGTGTTAGCTTATCTGTAGCAAGGATTGATGAAAAGGAAATTCCAAATGGCATTAATACTTCGCAGTGACTCGGAATGTAATGGCTAAAAAAAACCAAACTCAAACAACAAAACAACCCTTTGAGTAAATTAATTGCAAATCCAGAATCCAGAAAGGGAAGAAATGCCACAGCCAATCCAGTATCATGGAATTTAATCCTTGTCTGCATTTTGTCATCAACACTTACTGTTAAGTGTTAAAGCCTGGTTAGTCAATTAGTCACATTCATACACAATTTAAAAGTAAAAAGCAAATGATTTAAAAATAACCTTTAAAACACTATAGATTAACGTTTACATGCTACAGACCTACCAGTTATGTAGAGGCAAAAGAAACAACAGCTAGCTGTTGGGCTTACTTCCATAGCAAACTAGATAAAAATCCTTCTACACCCCCTCATTGAGACAAACATAGAAAACACAATGAACAAACAAAAACCTGAATATATCTGAAATATAAGCAAATTATACAGATGAACTGAACTCGAATACTCTCCTACCTGAAATGAAAAAACTTTAAAGGTCAAGTCCATTTTTTTTATTTGAGGGAATGATGGGTTGTCAAACTGTTCAAATTAAGCCACAAATGAATACCTAAAAAAAGAGTATTTCTGCCTGTGCACCTCCTCACACATAGACATGTACATGCCTGAACAAAAACTTCAACTTAGTTCCCGCTGTCAAAATTATCACTTTGAAGCTTGGACAAAACACAGCTTCAGGGTGCACTGCAATCTACTAAAGAACTAGTAAAAAATTAACAATAGTATAAAACCAGATCACCAGCTGCAGTAAGTTTCCTTTAAAATTTTCTAGATTGTTTTTCTGAGTAAATATGGAAGTACACAAAATGTCACAGTAACAGTAGGTCTAAAACTACTTATGCTACACAGACATGCCATGTAAATGCTAGAGATACAACTCTATTAAAGTAGAAATGGAAATAGTTATAGTAGCAATTTTTATTACTGCTAAGATATATCTGGCTCAGTACAAGTATCTTGGGTAATCTTCTGTTACCTTCTCAGGAAAAAAAAATACTTCTCAGAAAATACACACTACTCAGACTCATTCCTGAAAATTAAAATGGAATGTTTATGCTTTTACTTTTATTTAATGTCCTTCCTTAGCTTCAAATAATAGAACTGAAGAAAACTTGTAGTATTACCAGAAATAGTTCCAAGTACTAACTTAATTAATTCTAAATAAACTTTACTTATCCATAAAAGAATCATTTAATCTTCTGTGAACTAAACCATTTCATACTCTGTAGACTACTTACTGACTTATCCTAGGAGTAAGACAATTCATATTGATTAATGAACTTAGAAGTTCAGATCTGAAACCTGCATTTGGTGAAAGCCTTCAATACTTATGTTAAGGAAGCAGAACTTCTACATTCAGTACTAAAGGCAGGAAACAAAATAAAAATGTGCATCAGTATTATTTTCATTTACACAAAAACACACCTAAAAACTGCAGCACAGAGCAGCTAGGAGCTGACTCTGCATTCCCGTAAAGACAGGATTAAGAATTCATTTCCAATATGTCTGTAGCTGAATCTGCACAGGCAGCGACACCCTTTAGCAGGGCAGCCTGCAGGAGAGACCTCTCTCAGTCCATGAGGAAGAGCAAGCTGGCAGGCAAGGGGAGGCAGAGATCAACAGGCTTGAAAAGTAGGGTCTCCTTTGATCTGATGGGGTTAAACATAAGGCGTGATTCAGAAAATAAGAAAAATAGAAGTGGATTCCAGCCTGGACAATAAGGACACACGATTAAATGGGAGCATACATCCTGGCTTCAGGAGCAACAGGACCTAGCCATTAACATGGAAGACATGGTGCTGCAGGACGTTTCTCCTGCATACATATGCATACAGAGCTGCACCAGGCTCAGAGCTACTGCTGACACCAGCGGTATCCAAACCCACAGCTTAAAATC